TCCTTAAAAAATATTTTTAAATGTTTTATTAGAATTTTTTTATATTTTTTTATTAAAAATTTCTGCCTCCTCCCCTCCTCCCTTTTCCCTCCCCCACTCCCTACTCTCCCTTCCCCTCCCCCTCCCTCTCCAGTCCGAAGAGCAGTCAGGGTTCCCTGCCCTGAGGGAAGTCCAATTTTTGTACAGTTTTATATTTGCAAAATCGATCAGACACTACATAGATTTGTATTTATCTATTCCTAACCTATATACAACTTCACCCTTCATTATCATCTTGCATTAGTGTGGTAGTTTCTCACAATTGCTATGTTTCTATATCCCTTAGTTTATATAAAGGTTTACTCTTAGAATTGTGCCTCTAGTGTAACATCTTCACTCTCAGCACCTTGACTCCCCAAGAATCCTCTGCACGTCACCCATATAGTTCTTGTCCTAACTACCTGATAACAGTTTTTACTTTGGCTTTTGTTGTGGTGGTTTGGTTAGTTTTGGTATGGAGATTGTGGTTGTAGTTGTTTTTTTTTTTTTTTTTTTTTACCATTTATGAAGCTTTGCCTTTTCATATCACATAGGTGGGATTATATGTATAGCTTATATTTATAGCTTCTTCGGATGGCTTCTTTAGCTTACCATCTGTGTTCATGGCTTATTGGTGCATATCTTTTTAATACCAATGGATGTACCTGTTATCCATTTTTCTGTTGAGTGACATCATGAATGTCGCTTGTCTGATTTCATTATGGATTGACTGCTGTAAACATTTTGTACGCAGAAGTCAGTCCAGTTGATTGAGTCCATGCCTAGAAGCAGAGATTGCTAGGTCTTATGCTGAGACTGTTTTGCTTTGTAAGAAACACATTTCAGTGTCCATGTCTGTGCATACACACTCTTAAAAACCAACCTGACCCAGGCTGCAGAGATGCTCAGCCCTTAGCGGGCTGCGGAGGTGTGCAACACTTAGGAGCATTGACTGTTCTTCAGGAGGACCTGTTTGAGTCCCAGAATCCTTCTTCTGACTTCTCTGACCACCAGGCATGTGACTGATGCACAGACAGACATGTAGGAAAAACACCCATACAAAGATAATAAAAATAAACCTTGAAAAAAGTCAACCTACTCAAAAGCCTGGAAGCCTGCTCTCTGAACTGTCAGCAGTAGTCACCTAGGAGGCTGAGATGGGACGACTCAGATTATTAATTTTTTTGCAGCAAAATTTCATTCCATAATAATTTTATAGCCTTTCTTCCCAAATTTCTTTTTAATTTGTGGAAATAAAAATAATGAATCACCATAAGCAAAAACAAAGTGATTCAGTATATTCAGTGTCATAGTGTGTCCTAGTCAGGAGACGGAGTATTTCATTCTGCGTATTCACACACTGGTCGAGCACCTACCAAGTGCCAGTCCTCCAGGGGCTCATGGCCTGGGGACTACACACTTCCCACCGTCAGATACCAGCACTACTGGACCGTTAGCCACGGTCTCATGTGCTCAGCCTTGTTTCTTACCTAAGTACACCAGCCTGAATGTTACTTTGTGGTTCTATGTGTTACTGTCTGGTGTTCTCTATCTCGCCTCTATTCTTCAGCCCTTCTTCCCAGCAAGGAAACTTAACTCGTCCGTAGATGTTTTCTGTTTTCTATAGAATTCGAGTGAAAAGTTTAAAAGTTTCTCTTAGAGAAAGAATGCAGGTCAGGAAATGTGCTGGCATGCAAGGGCTGGTTTGCCACAGGAGGATCAGAGAAGAATTTAGTCTAAACTTGATTTTATTTCATCCTGCAAGGTAATTTTACACATGTTAAAAGGTATGTGTTTGTGTGTGTGTGTGTGTGTGTGTGTGTGTGTGTGTGTTTGCAGATTATTTAAAAGACTATTTTCTGTGGATTAAGTTCAGCTTTTAAGATTTTTTTTTTTTTTTTTTTTTTTTTTGGTTTTTCGAGACAGGGTTTCTCTGTGGTTTTGGAGCCTGTCCTGGAACTAGCTCTTGTAGACCAGGCCGGTCTCGAACTCACAGAGATCCGCCTGCCTCTGCCTCTCGAGTGCTGGGATTAAAGGCGTGCGCCACCACCGCCCGGCAAGCTTTTAAGATTTTTTAAGAGATTTTAGCGCATAATAATCAAATTCTGTGACATTAAAAAATCACTATAAGGGCCTGGAATGTACTTGTCTAGCATGCTCCTATTCCCACTAGACTTACATGAATGAATGAATAAATGAATGAATGAATAAAATCCTCATAGGAACTATTAATTCAGTGTGAAAGATGATTATATTAGTGGGTTCTTTTTTTTCAGTAAAAGTCACCAGTGTTGAGTATTGTACAGTTAAATACTTTATCCAGTGCCTGTTATACTTTAAAGAGGAGAAGAGAGCACTTGCTCTGGAGAGAAGCCCTGTCCCCTGCCATGGTGCGCAGTTTGTTGGTGAATCTGACCTTTACCTTCGTCAGCTTGGCCTTGGACAGTCATTTGATTTTACTGAGCTGACTTTTTATGATTAAATTAATTGAATTAAATAATGTGAAGCACTCCACAAACCATAAAGTAATGCAGGTGTAATTGCCATCATCGTGTGGACTCTGTCTTCTAAAACAGATTTTATAATCCACTGAATCAGACGCTCGGGAGGCCAGTGAACCACTCTGTAACCTCTTACCATGTGTTCTGTACCCAGCTCTCGCTGCATGAGGACAGACTTGGGTCATTGGAACCAGTCGTCCTGGAACCCAGGAGAGCTCCAAGCCCTGATGTTAATGGATAGTTCTTTCCTTCAAGGACAGAATGCGGCAGTGGGAATGTTGTGAGAGTCTCTGCTGCTGTTTTCTAACTGTGTTCCTGGTTTGAGGAGGGTGGCTACAGACAGGGCAATAAATGGGGAAATGTTCTCATCACCTCAGGAGGACCTTCGACGTTGAAGATAATAATTGTCTTCCCTTCTGTTTGTCTGTCTTTCCCATCTTTCCACCATATAGTCTCAGCCTCTGGCTCATTCTGAAGGCGTCTCTGCTAGCATTCTCCTCCCTGCATCTTTGTTCTTTGAGTCCCTTTTCTTTTTCTTATTTCTCTGATGATATGATTTGTCCGATTCAGCTTCTTTTATTGTTTAGTACTTATTTTTATACCAAAAGTTGACATTTAAATCTAATATAATAGGTAAAAGTGTTATCAGTAATTCATTTTCACATACAGAATGCAACTGGTCACAGTGAAAATGAGGTCTGATATTAATGATAAGAATATAATGTTCTTATGCTGTTTTAACAGTTTATATAAACAGCTTTGACAGGAAATTCTGTTCTCTTAGAAACCATTTAGAAGAAATAATTTAGTCCAAAGATGTTTAGAATCAATAAAGACATATAACATCTATGATATAGTAGGAACTGAAAATGGACTATTACATGAACTATTTTAGAATAGCAACCTATGTATAGCAGGTAGAAAGTATATTTTTAAAGCAATAAAAGTTTGTATGTACACTAGGTCTTGGTAGAATGCATATATCATCCAAAGTGATGAGTATAAGTTCCATTTTTCACATCAGCATGTATGTTAGATACCACATGACGCATAAGAACAAAGTATGTTTTATGGCTCTGTTTCTCAGATTCTTTCCTCTTTCAATCCTGTGTCGAACAGTTCTTAGAGCAGTGTGGGAGCGTAGACATTTTAAGCCACATTTCTTTTGCGCTAAGAATTCCATGCCTAAGTGACTTTATTGATAACCCGATGCATGCTAAAATATTTGCAAGGATCTTCACTGTAGCACTATTTGTAGTTTGTCCACGATCATTATAAAATTGTGATTTTTCTACTATGGATTTGTGTGAAGGAAATAATCATCAAAGCTATGGGAAGACATAGTTATGATATATATTTACTCCTTTTGTTAAAATCCTCGATGGACAACAGTAGTGAGTTGGTAAACTATGATCCTGTTGGCGGAAATTAGGCAGCACTGTGAGTGTTGTAGAAAACTCGCGAGATCATCATCTTCTATCACACGTGTGCACATACAGTCACATGCTTGTATACGTGGGGAGGAGGAAGCACGGGAAAGCTTGCTTTTCTCTGGGTACTTAGACATGAATCGTTTAGATTTATTTTTCGTTTAGTGGCTCATGGTTATGATTATAGCATAAAATAAATATGAAGGTTCTGTTTTTGTGGTTTTGGCTGTATGGAAATTTCATTTGCTTATTCATTCATTGTAAAATTTATCACTCTGTACTGCCAGCTTGGTCTCAGATCCTGAGTTCAAGTGATCATTTCTGCCTCCGTAGTGAGGCTACAGCTTGTGGCACGGTGCCCAGCTTATTTGTTCATTGTGTATGCCAGCACATGATAATCGTGCATACTTATGAGGGCAGGACTGACAGATGGGTACGCTGCATGTGCACAGTTAGGGTGAGCCTACCTGTCACTTGAAACGTTTGTCATTTCTTTGTGGAAACAAAATCTATTTAATGTACACACATAATTATCTGTAGTCACTGTATTGTGCAATAGAACACTGGAATTATTTCCCCCATTTAGCTCTAGTTTTTTTCTGAGAAATAATACTAAGAAAATAACTCACATATACAGAAAAATATTATAGGAAATATACTAAACAGTAGCTGTTTTGAGAAGTGGAACTAAAGTAACTTTTAAAAAGACTTTTGTGTCTTATTTATTTATTTATTGTTTTTTTTTTTTCAAGACAGGGTTTCTCTGTGTAGCTTTGGAGCCTGTCCTGAGTGGCACTAGCTCTTGCAGACCAGGCTGGCCTCGAACTCATGGAGATCCACCCACCTTTGCCTCCTGAGTTCTGGGATTAAAGGCGTGTGCCACCACCGCCCGGCTTTTTATATTTTTCTTTAATGAGAAAATGAGTATATCCATTTTACTGGAAAAAGATTTGGGGTTTTATTTTGTTAAAAGCATGGTTGATAAGCAATTTTTAAGGATAGTATCTTGTAATATTTATACACCTAACGAACTTGAATTTTTCATTTTTAGGCCAGAAATGTACATACAGGAGAATTAGCTGCAGTGAAAATCATCAAGTTGGAGCCTGGTAGGTATTGGTATTTATATAAGTGTGTGTGTGTGTGTGTGTGTGTGTGTGTGTGTGTGTGTATACATGCATACATAGTGTGTGGGTGTATATACATACATGCATACATTGTGTGTGTGTGTGTGTGTGTGTGTGTGTGTGTGTGTGTGTGTGAGCCCTGCCTGTTGTGGGTATCTATTAGATTACTTCATATATTTTTGAGTAGTTTTTTATATAGTTATAAGACTTACATGCATATTCTTTATTTCTTTTTTTTTCATCTTCCTAAAATAAATCTTTATGTGTTCTTCTAGGTCAATAGAATGTCTCCAATATAATCATATTAAATTGCATCAAAGATAGTCAAAGTCACTTTTAATGTGATACTTTTGTTGTTAAAGGGAATTTGAGATGGGTGTGTTAAAAAATTATAAGCTTCATTGACTCACAGTGACAAAATAATTTTCTTTTGCCATTATAGTGAACATTTTAACTTCAACTTTAGCTGTTAAATGTAATTAGAAGTCACAGAGGCAGCCCTAATTAAACTCTGGGGGGTACTAAATAAAACCCAAACTAGTCAATAGTAGAAGAGATTACAGGCAGGGGACAGGAGTGGTTGTGGTGGGAGAGAAATAGAAGGCGGACGGAGAATGACCAGACTACGTAGTATACAGGTCTGAAATTGTGAAAGAACAAAACTTACTAATAAATATGAGTTCAGCTCTCGTTTTAATCATCATCCGTATTACTGGAGTAGATAGATGATACTTTCCAATAGCCTGCTTTGCAACAGTTTAAAATCAGATTTTCAGATAAGCATGATACCTTGTCCTCTGGCAGAAATTGTTGTGATATTTCAGACTTCTCTTACTATTCCATGTGATAAGTATAGAACTGATCTCCAAAATGTCACTGACTAAGTAGATGGGACCGTGAGCAGACCTGACTGGAGGAGCCCATTGTGTGCAAGGGCTGGGGACAGCTAAGTTCTGGGCTGGGCTCTAAGAGGAAGCACAGATGTTTACCCCTTTGCTGCCCACAGAGAGCACACGGGGCTGAGTTCTGCATTGGCTGGCTTGTGCATGGCTTACTTTTCATGATAATTGACATTAATAGTATATCTTTAAAATCTGCAAGCCTCACTTATCAGTAAACTATGTTTTGTGAATAGTGTAGAAAATCAATTTAATAAAAAGAAAAAAAATCAAAGCTGTGGAGATGCCTCACTAGATCAGTTACTGGCCTTGCAAACATAAGAACCAGTGTTTGGATCCCTAGCACCCTCAAATGCTGGGTGGGAGTGGAGGCCTTACTGTGATCCCAGCACTATCGAGCCAGAGCAAGGATCCTGGAGCAAGCTGGCTAGGTAGACTAGGTGAATCAATCAATGAGCTCAAATCAATAAAGTTCATATAAGTATATAAAGTGACAAGCCATCAAAAAATATCTATATCATGTGTAGTGGTGTTTAGCTTAGTGGTTAAATGTGGGATCATAAATTAGAACTATGAAAGACTGGAATTCTCACTTCCTTGTTTTGTAAAAGTCCTTGGTTTCATATTAGAGGTCACTTATAGACTAATGTTTAAACTCTCCCTCATTCAGAAAATACTGACGACGTAATCTTAGAATTGCCCCATTTTGTTTGGATGTGTGTATGTGCATGTGCACTAGAGCATGTGCACATGTGTGAGTGTGTGTGTGTGTGTGTGTGTGTGTGTGTAGTTTGGCCTGTATTCTTCACCGCTGTATACAGCAAAGCTCTCCGTGGAGCTTCCGGTGGTTCTCCTGTCTCCACTACTACCTCACTGTAGCACCAGGATTATAGACACATGTAACCACATCTGTACGGGTTCTCAGGCTTGTGCAGCAAACACTTTACTGTAAAGCATCCCTACTACTATGTGTGTACTACAGTCCTATAGCACCTGTACTACGTCTACTTCGGTCCTATACCTGTAGCTCACTGCCTGTACTACGGGATTGGACAGGAGCCGACTGGATGGGCAAGGGCCTGGAGATTGACACAGACAGAGACCCAAGTCATCCTTGAAACAAGAATGCCCCCTTTGTTGTGTTCCAGGGCAGCTTATATAGGGATCCTTAACTGATAGCCACGCCCCAGCCAAACTGACCAGAAACCACTCCCCTGCCATCAGGAACTCCTGAGGGTCTTGTGCTCAGAGCAGCTGCAAGCATTGGAAAACAAGTTGTTTACTCCAGCAGGCAAGGGGGTCACAGGAAATTGAGGGTCTGGGGGTCCACAGTCCCCAACACTTTATCTAGTGAGCCAGTCAGTGTTTCACCCACTTTTATATCGAGTAGATTACCTGTCACCTCTGCCTGCACCGTCCGGTGATTTGTCTCTGTTACTGGTTGTTAGATGTCATCTGCACGCTGAGCTAACGGCTCTCCACATCTGGAAGCTTTGTGCTTACCTTTGCAGTCCCTCAATTTTCTCTCTTTTCAGTCTTCCCTTTCTTTGTTCTCTTCTTTCCCATTTTTAGCCCTTTCTGTCAAATAATTATATTTTTTAAAAAATATGAATTGAAATTTCTAATAGTTGTCTCCTTCCAAAGTTAAATATCTAGCCCATCAGAACACTTCTGTTCTAAACAGTAGGCGAGCTCCAGGTGTGTGTTCGTTTTTCAAACTGCTGAACAGTTTCCCCAGCCATTCCTGCAAAAGCGTTCTTTATGGACAGATTTGAAGTATGTTAGTTGGGTTTATGTCATAATACATTGGTTTCTGTTTCCTAGTTCAGGTTCAGTAACATCCTGGTTTTGAGCAAAATAACTTTTTATTATCTATTAAAATCCTCTTTTATTTTTCAAATGGTTGCTTTTTGTTTATTTATTTTACAGTAACATTAAGTCTTTTTGTTTGTTATGTTCTGGAGACAGGAGTCTCCCTATTTGCCTCAGCTTTCCGAGTAGTTACACCTACGGCTGTCTTCCACTTATTGTGCCTGACCGCAGAGGAACTTAAATCTACAGTCTTGTCTCTGGCCGCCCTAGGGAACTGACGTCATTCCTGCTAGTTCTCACATCTTCAAAGTTATTTTTACATGTGCACGTGTTACTGATACTGATGAATCTGGCTCCAGGCTTCCAGATTTTAGGATGGTGTGTTCTTTATTGCATATTAAGCTTTAGGGGCGGACAGAGAGTTAGCTGACCTGTGTGTGGTGCTTCTGCCCACCTCACCTTTGACTTTATTTGCTTAATGTATTTTTGTTTTGTCAGTTAGCTCATAAAAGTCATGATTACATCTTCATTTCTAAGCAACTGTTTGTTGGTTTCTTAGTTCATGGGAGATCCATTTAGAGTGTGGAGTATAGACAAGAGCAACAGGGCAAGGGCCTGAACTTGTGTCTGACGGGGGAGGTAGAGCATGGGAACTAATGTATGATGCGGCGTTTGCTCATATTGGTCAGTGGCTTCTGCTTTTCCTGTGGCTCCTGAGCTCTGTCCTCAGGCGTGCACTCCGTGCTCTGCTCACCCTCCCTCATGTTAGCCTTGGTGAGCTATGATAGTGCTAACCCCCTTTACATGTTTGACTTAAGTCTCTGTCCCACTGAGTCAGCCTAACATATCTAGGCCTGGCATTTTGTGCTTTTGTGCAGGAGGCTGTTGTTTGAGACAGGGTTTCTCTGTAGTCCTGGCTGTCCAGGAACTCTCTGTAGACCAGCTAGCCTCGAACTCAGAGATCCGTCTGCCTCTGCCTCCCGAGTGCTGGGATTAAAGGTGTGCACCTCCACTGCCAAGCTCTATTTTGTATGTTAATATGTCTTAGTCATTGCAGTTTTATTGTCTGTTTGTGTTTTGTTTTGTTGGCATTTACTTGGAAAAGTTATAACTTGTTGATTTTGTAACCTAATCAGAATTTTTCCCCTTGTAATACATAGAAGTCCATGAACATATTATTATTTAGAGAATGTTAGATTTTGCTTCTAGTATATGACTTTTTGTGTTTATTTTCTTGTTTTGTTCCTAATCTTTCCTGTAAGTTTGTTTTTTAGTGGCTAGGAATTTCTTTTCTTTTTGCTGCTTGTAATTTGGAAGAAACATTATCTATCAGAAGATGGTTTATGGAGCTTTGGAATAACAGACTTGAATCCAAACCAGTGTGAAGTATTTTGAGACTAACAGATGTTTTTTAGATTAAAGTAAATTCAATAATCTGCCCTTTTCTCCCATTTTTATATCATATCCCCTTTCTTCTGTAGAAAGATTGACTATGACCAATAGCAATTTGTAACCAACCCCCATTAAGTGAAAACAAACATTCATAAACATTATTTGGGGAATTCGAGCATAGTTCTCTAGACTACTACTTGCTGATTAGTGGGCGCTGGTGATCTTTGAGGGACCCTGCGAAAATTTAGAATTATGATCAAGAGCAGCCGTGAAGCTGTTCTGGATGTAGAACTCAGAAGAAACAGAAACAGAGGTGCTAGGAAACATTGGACCATCTGGGCTAGCTGTTCCCATCAAAGACTTTTCAGGGCATTTTCCTCAGTTAAACCATATTAACCTGGAAGGAATCCACAGTTTCTTGTTTCCTGTGGAAACAAAAGCAAAACCTCTCTTTCCCAAAGTAACATTTTAAAAATATATAGGTTGCTTTAATTTAGTAGCTTTTAAAATTATAAAAGTCTCTCAGTACTTAACTCATTAACAGTCAAAAAATCCAAAGAAAACATAATACACATAATACAGATTCTTTGTATATTTTCCGTCTTTACGTGGCTATTGTATATTTTTTATTATTTTATTTCCTTTTTAAGAATTTTATTATTTTTAAATCTTTTTTTAGTCTATTACTGTTTCTACCCTTCTCTTTCTTTCTTAAGCCAGGTGGTGGTGGCGCATGCCTTTAATCCCAGCACTAGGGAGGCAGTGGCAGGCAGATCTCTTGTGAGTTTGAAACCAGCCTGGTCTACAAGGGCTAGTTCCAGGACAGGCTCCAAAGCTTCAGAGAAACCCTGTCTTGAAAAAAACAAAACAACAACAAAA